ACGATGTTACGACAACAACCATGGCGATGGACATGACTGCAACGCGCGAGAGGAGCCCCATCCAAGCTGACCACCATTGCTGCGTAGACGAGAGTCGCACGTTCGAGATGCCCGTAACATTAGTAGAGAACTTAGGACCGCTGAGGCAGCGACTCGAGGAGATGCGATCATTGCTGCCCGCGCGCGCGGGCCAATGACGTCGCGGTGTGCACGATGCTGGGCAGCATGGCGTCTCGCGTAGCTCGTCAGAGGTCCAGTGAGCTAGCAGGAGCGCATCATCTCGCCGGCAGTCGTGCGGCCGGCGAGATCGATTGTCCGGGGATCCGCCCTTGCGCAGACTCAATGGCTCGTCACGCATGCTGTTGCGGCGCCGTGTTGACAGCTACGTCGTACAAGCGCTTCAACGTGGCACGGCCATCGGAAGTAGGTGTGCCGGGAAATTTCAAGATGGCCGCTAGCAGAATGGGTACTGATGATTCGCTGAAAAGGAACGCTTACGCCATTTGGATTGGCTGTTCAATAATAATTGATTCGGCCGATGCGATTGGCTAAAATGTTGACACGGTGGCGTCGGATCCATGCGCAGCCGCCGGTGGGATCGATCGGTGGGCCAACTCGAGTTTTCAACAAAGTTGCTCAAACTTGGTGAGGTGATAGAGGACACTCTGGAGAGCTCAAAACACATCGTCATGTTGACGTGCGCAATGTCTAGCGCCCCCTACGGACTTCGCCACTATTTGTGGTACATGCCATATTAGGACACATACTACCATATTTAGCGCCTCACGACGGACGCCGAGATCGGTCACAATGTCACCGCCAGTACTGTCTGTACCCCTTGATTCTACGCGCGTTCACTGCAGGGATCAAGCAACCAGTCTTATCGACGACTCTATACACGACTACGTCGTATCCAAAATATACACCGTGCGGTGCAGTCGGCAACGGGAGTCAATCAATCAAAATTAAAATTGTTGGCCAAATGCACAACTTCGAGTACGGCTTGGAGTCTCTCCATCGATCTACCGGTACCTATTTCTTACTTTGATAGATCGAAAGAAATCGGGATGCAGCAGCGTCGAGGCGCTAGGCAATGCGCTCTTGGCAATTTAGCACAACCGAATCAACATGCGTCCGCGTACGCAGCGGACGCCGAGTTGTCGCTGCAGTGCAGGGCTGGCTGCTGAAGGTGGTGCCGTCAGCCACCGGCGCCGTAGCAGTAGACATACCATTTGCGTTGTATAGTCGACGTGCCGAGACCGACACCGACAGCGACAAACTCGAGCGCTGATGTGCGGGACCCTTGTCTCTCGCTCGCTATTGTTGCGTCGTCGTGTGTCCACGTCATAGTCCACGTATCCGGACACGTATCCAGATACCAACAGCAAGTGCCGCCGGCGCTGTGGCAGAGAGCCGCGCGCAACATCTCGCGGCGCCTAGCCTCCTCCTTCCAACCTCGCGCACCTGACGCATGATGTCCTGCTGCTTGTACACTGCAGCCAAACCAGAGACTGCTGCCAGCATACCGACAATCATACCGCCCGCCGGGAATATGTGGCCTCGGCAAGCCGCGCCTTGAAGCTGTACGCGCTCCATTTACAAGGTGCTCTCAGGCACGTCTGTGCGCCAGAGTGTGTGGACGAGCGTCGTGTCGAGCACGCTGCACGTGTTCCTTGAGATGCTCATGCTGCAAGTGCTCTCTGTCAAAAACGTCGAGAAGCCGGGTACGTTCTTTATTCCGCAGCTCAAGAACGGTACTGGCGCGAGCAGCTCCGACGCGTCCATGGCGACCATATCACGCTCTATCTTCTCGAATCCAGCCGCGGCGTGAGCTCTTGTTCAAGAGCGTTATCACGGCCTTTGGCAGCCTCGCGCTCACCTACGGCGCTCGCATTGCCATTTCCACGCGTCAACGCGGGTGCTCGGACCCGACACACATCACTTTTGTGACGCCGCGTCTTTTTAGTCGTATCGACCACCAGTGTGTTGGCGGTCGAGTACCTGGCAGCCTTCTCTTTGCCACCACGGGCACCGAGCTCTGCTTCTCGATGCCCTATAGCGACATCGTCCTCTGATACCTCTTCACGCAGCTGCACATTGCGGTCGCATTTGTGGTGTTCATGCGTCTGGCCATGTTTATCGCCGAACGCCTCGTCCTCGGCTAGCACACCGACGCGTTCGAGATTGCTACCGATGAGGCGGCATACTCGTAGAAGCCTTGGAAAGCGATCAGGAGAAGCACGTCCAGCGTCATACAACGAACCTGGCAAGTACCACAAGGCGACCGCACGGCGCTCCTTGAACGTGTCTGCTTTGCGATTTCTTTCCATCCACGTCTCGATCATGATGATGTTTGCGTCCGGTCCCTTGGTCGCGTTCTCATTCAGCACTACGGTAGCTGATCAAATAACATTCTGAAGCACATATAGGATGGCGACTCGATGCGGGGTTCCACAATTTCATTAATGTGATTATTGAATTAGTGTGTACCTAGCGTAGCCGTGCACAGAGTCCTTCTCGTCTTCGACAGACTTGTTGCCCGGTACTAAATGTGGCATAAAGTGTCTCTATATGGCATATGCCACAAATAATGGCGAAGTCCGTAGAGGGCGCTAGACATTGCGCACGTCGACGCGACGATGTGTTTTGAGCTCTCCAGAGTGTCCTCTATCTCCTCGCCAATTTTGAGCGACATTGTTGAAAACTCGAGTTGGGCGACCGATCGACCTCACCGGTGGCTGCGGCATGTATCCAATGCCACCGTGTCAACATTTTAGCCAATCGCATCGGCCGAATCAATTGTTATGAAATGGCCAATCCAAATCACGTAAGCGTCCAATTTTAGCGAATCATCAGTACGCACTCGGCCTTGCCACGGCCGTGTCATGTTGAGGCGCTCCACGCTGCGTCAGTGGGCATGGCGCCGCTGTAGCATGCGTGACGAGCGACCAAGTCGGCGCGAGGGCGGAGCCGCGGCCAATGTTGTCGACGGCCTCATGGGCACGCGACTGCCGGCGAGATGATGCTGGCTCGCTCGACTGCAACGACAAGCTGCCCAGCGCAGCGCGCCGCAACATGCTCTGACTATCGTCTTGAAGACTCTTGTCGATCATTCTGCGCGCTGCTGCCAAACCTTCTTCAATCGCTGTGATAGTTTCGGCCGCCTTTTCTAGCTCCCGAGAGGCGGTATGCCAACGCGCGAGGCTGCATATAACAATCTGCAAGTACTTAAATCTCGCCAACAATGTTGTCCTTCTCCACGTCCGAGAACGACAGGTTGTTTCAAGCCCTCTAGTCAAGATGGTGTCGCGATGGTCTTGCAGGACGCACTATTGACACTATGGAGTGCCAACGAAGCTAGCCATGATGATCATGCACTCCCCGCGCCTTGTTTTTTGTCGACGGGTTTGGTTTGGTGTGCTCAATCAAAATCGAATCTTCACAATCCCCACAAATGTTATAGCTGATAGTGGATAGCTGGTGCACAAATGTGGGTGCGACCCGTCTGACAAATTTCTCAGATTCACAACCGACGATATGTGTTGGCTCTGGCGTTGTGGCATCTAGACATTACCTTTGTCTAGTCACTCGACTGACGGTAAAGTATTGTTGCTAGAGTTAAGCGACACTAGACGAACACGCCAGCCATTAAATCAGTGGCTATCAAAGTTCCGGTATCCGTTGGTGTCAGCACGCAGTGCACATCGTCATCCTTGCGCGCGCTCGCTCCATGTTTCTCGATGCCAATGCAGGCCGCTTTGACCAGCCCCACTCGATGTCCATGGCTGGTGCATGAGATGTAGAGCATCGTCTGCTGCCCGTAGCGACAAGATACTTTGCCTTTGCGCTGATCAGTTCGTGCAGCACGGGTTCGTTGTACCACCCTGCGACTACAACCCGCACAGTGCCCCACTCGGACCATGGTATTCTTGAAGAAGACACGCAGCACACCAGCATGCAGCGTGGGGACACGACGGGCTCTGCCAGCGACGACGACATGAGCTTGGACGGCTTGACGCTCATCGAGCTCATGACCAAAGGCAAAGAGAACGAAGTGCTCTGGCGCCTCCGCACGCCCGGCACCATCACCGACGACGACCTCACGACCCTCGACGGGGTCTCTAGCGTCCTCTTCCTAAGCTGAACTGACATTAGTTTAGGATGGCGACTCGGTGCTCTCGATGGCAGCGCTCTCGGGCTCGTTGCCCGTCGTCCAAGCGCTTGTGGAGCTGACGCCGTATCAGCGCATTCCCAACGTCCGTTCTTCTTCGGCTCATATTGACCTCATATGCCTCGTATACGTAGTTTGCATGGGTGACCATGCAGCGAGCGGTCGCCTACAACCATCTCCCGGTCGTAACGTACCTCTGGGCCGTCCTCGCGGACCCGTTGGAGCTCGTGTCGCCGACAGTACGTGTCCTCGTCCGTCACGGTCGCTCATCATTGTCACTAGAACGGCAACACGCTCTTGCACCACGCGGCAGACCACAGCGCCATGGGCGTGCTTCGCTGGCTCGTCCCGCGCTTCTCGTCCGTTGACGTCACCAACAATGTACAACAGACACTTTCGGTGTCATTGGACCCTAACCACGGACGCTGTAGGACGGCGAGACGCCGTTTCTGGTCGCCGTGTCCAACGCCGACTATACATGCGCGGCCGTGCTTGCGGCGGTCGGCGCCGACATCTTTGCCCGTGCCGCAGTACCCTTGATTGCTCCTGACGTCTTGACGTCTAACAACGTCTCTCGCGTAGGACGGGAACACGGCGCTGCATTATGTGATCCGGCAGGCGCCCGAC